TTTATTTCTCATAGACCGGAAGGAAATACTTCCGGTCATGGGAGCAAGCAACTCCCAACCCATCAAGCATGAGGGGTGGTTTGGGGCGCCGACTCCTTAAAAATCAAAAAAATCAAAATAAAAAAATAAAAAATTATTGGATGGCCGACTCCCAAAGTTGGCCATCAATTTGGAGGAATGACTCCCACCCAACGACCCCTCGACCAAAATGGGAGTTGTCGGAAAATCTTTCGGAGTCGTTTTTCCGACCCCCTATACCAGAGTCAGAATCTTCAAAAAATTGTTTAGTATCCTTGAGATTGTACCTCATGCCTCTGGAGTCAATAGACCATTTGTTGGAATCACACTTCCGAGATCCTTAAAAGGTCAAGAAGTGAGTCTAGTTTCAATAACCTCACACCCAGATTACCCAGATTCCCTGATACTTTTGTGTATCTTTAGTGACAGGTGTGATGACAAACTTGAATGACACAAAGCAAAATGCCTTCAAGCAACACTGCAACAATTTCAAGAAACTGAAACATATGATGGGTACTTATGTCAATTTATGTAGCTAAAGACAAAATATATTGCATTTCCCTGCCAAAAGAATTGTATTGGTCAGATAGAAACTTCTATTGGGATGCTGATCCATGGAATGACTGTTGGAATTTCGCTCCTTGATCTCTTCTCCTCATCTTTCACATCACATGTCACTCATTTGCTAGAACTGTTTTTGTCCCATTTCTTATTCAATATGCATCTGACTCTGCTCCCACAACTCATGCATATTTGTATCTAGATTATTTAAGACAGTCTAGTAACAAGAAATAAAATCATCAGTCATAGCTCTTTTTGATCTGGTCCTAAGTGGACACTTTAGCCTCCACTTAGTCTTTCTCAAGCGCACTTTAGCCCGCTTGTCTGAGTACAAATAGCATCTCTCAGACTTCTGTCTACTATCAACTTTGTTGACTTTTCCCCATCTCCAACTCAAATTTCATCAATGACCCATGCAGATACATTGCAGATCCTATCTCTGTTTCAGTGTTGCTTCAAGTCAGTAACTGATGTCACTCCCTCTAACAAGTTTGATCAACTCCAAAACTCAGATGATCAAGTGTTGACTCATTAATTCAAAGCTTTAATACTCTTTTTTAGATTATCACCAACAATCAAAGCAACTCAATTGAGTCTGCTAAAAAGGATTACTCTACCAAATAGTATTAAGTAATTCTTTTTCTCTCAACAGCTAGAGAACCTTTTATTAACAATGAGTAAATCCTCATCTCATATAGATCATCTGTTTGATTCTATTATCAAACAAGATGTTGTGGTAAGCAATTCATAAATGCTCAAAGATGGGCTGCATAACTGTTACATAGAAATAGCAAGTTTTCAGTGCTGCCAGTTCCTCAAAATTCCAACCAAGAACACATGTCACCAACTCCAATTCAAGACACACAACAAATCAAAAGAATTCATCACATGAAATACATAATGGAGAAATGCTCCCTTAGTTCAATTTGATTCACATCCTATGACATTTCTTTAATAAATATTTCTTTCCTCCACATTTCACAATAAAGAGAGAGAAAAAAGAATTCCACACTTCAAGGTGAAACAAAATTTTTGGTTAATTGCTCTCAGAATTTTAGAATAGAAGTAAATCGCCTTTCCTTTTCTTTTGTCGCACTCAACACATCATTTCATCTGCAACAGTATGTAACTATTCTACGCGAAGTGGAATTTCTTCGCGTTGGGTTTCACCTATTCCAACTTCATTTGAGGACCTCTCTCAGATGCTGGTTGCAAATTCGGGAGGAGCTAGAAAGAAGTTCAGTCGAGCTCCCCCCTACTCCGCCTATACCACCACACAATTTTCTCACCTCTCTGATAAACCAAGCCAAAATTAACGACTCCTCAACATTATCACCGGCTCCACCACCAATAAGCTAGGAGGGAAGATATCGAGATGTTATGCATGCAGTCAAACAATCATGGGCCTCGGAATCCTCGTTTGCCGTTCAAAGAACTATTTGGAAAAATCCAGCAAGATCTTGTGGGGAGATTTAACGAGATTTCGAAAACAAAATGGGATACGCGACAAAGATTTTCCAAAGAGGGGGCTAATACTAGTCAAAAGCAAACCGATCAAGAACTTGTATTCATTCGACGTCCTGTAGATTGTTTCAGAGATTTAGTGATTTGATTAGGGGACTCTAATGCTTGCATGTGAAAAAATCAATCACAGATGGTAGCTACTAGGTGAAGGAATGATGGCAGCGGCGTACTATTGGTGGTTCCGTTGTTTTAAAAAATCAGGTAGACTACTGAACTCTTGGCTGGCGTTTCTGGCAACCATGATCTATTGCGTATCCGAGTTTTGAAGGATGGTTTGGCTGAAGTAGCAAGACGTCCATTGCCGTCAATCCATAAGTCTTGGGTGATTAAGTAGGCAATTGTCATAGGGATCTGACTAACACTTATAGCCCCCTGAGGACAGCACCAGGGTACCTCACTGGGAGTCAGAGTGCAATCTAGATCGGTGGGTGGGATGTCTTGCAATCCGCATTAACAGAAAATGATACATGAGTTTGTATGTGTAATACCAGGGGTGAGTTGGCGATGAAAAAGACTCACAAATTAGTGGATCGGGCGATCTGGATGGGTCATCGGCACAAGCATAGGCCGGGGTGTTTCCGCCACAGGGCTTCAAGTTCTTAGACCTGACATTACTGACACCAAACACGAAAGCTAAGAGTGCAAATTTAATAACGTTCATGGTACCGAGAGGGATGCGGGAGATGAGCAACAGTTGGTGTAATTTCTATATTGTCTAAATGAGGATGTGGGAGTTGTTGGTGTGGTTGAGAGGTCTTTGCGGCGAGACGAGTTGCATTTTATATATGCTATTCTTGAAGAAGCCTTGCGCTTATGTGTATGTACATTTGCTCGCCAGCCTTCCATGCCTTCCACGCCAAGATTCTCGCTGGGCCGGCCGTCTCAGGCTGAGGAAGGAGCACAGCACGAACAAATAGTAGTTGAGTTCGGTGATGATGGTATATACTTTAGGCGGCTGTTCAGGCAGGCCGTATGTATCAGGACCTCAATACACATTTCAGGACGGTTGAACCTATGTAGCCAAGCCCTAATCATCAATCTAGAGAACATTGATCACTCCCTTCGAGATCGAGGGATAAGGCTTTAGACCATCTCCACCGCGGTCCCTAAATCGGGTCCCTATCCCGCATTTAGGGACCGCGGCCCAAAAAACGCCGCCCACCGCGGTCCCCATTGTCGTCTGTATTTTACAGATTTCATCCTCGGTCCCTCTCCAGACTAGGGTTGACGGTGCCACCTTTTTGTAGGGGCGCCGGCCAGACTGCCAAAGCATGGCGCCTTTGGCTGGCGGTGCCCCGGTGAGTTGGGCGCCGGCTATAAAGTTCTTTTTATCCATTTTTTTGTTTTGTCTTGAGTACATCCACCAGATGATGCCTGAAGCCCTCAGTGCCACCATCTTTCAGTATGTAGAGGGCCAAAAGGTCCAAGTTCCAGACCGGAGTGACTTGTAGATCCCAGGCGCTCTTGGTCCTCATGGTCATCAGTGGCACCCCCTCTGCTCCAAGGTGCCAACCCAAACACTGGGCCTTTTTTTTTAAGTGAGGTTTGATTAGCCCTTAAAAATTGTAAATCCATAATTAAAAAGTCAAAGATGAAATTATAAATCCATAAAAAACCCTAAAAAGTAGGGTAAAAGTCAGGTGCACGCCAACCCCCATTTTTGAATACATTGGGGACCCAGGGGCGTGTACAGGGGGCGGGCGCACTTTGGCACACCCCACCCTATGGTGCTGTCAACCCTAGATACCAGTGATTTAAGGACTACGCGGTGTGGCATAACAGGTTTCCGAGTCCCTACACACGTTTCCGAGTCTGTATTTTTGATTGATAGGGACCCAAAAATACAGACCACAGTGGAAATGCTCTAAGGCTGGGCCCTGGGTGATACCTGAGGCCTCTGGAGCCTCCTGTGCTCAATACCCAAGGTTGGGTATCCAATTTCCTAGTCCTGGAAGGTATCCAACGGTTATCAGGTACCCCCCACAGGGACCGACTGCCAGATTGCCTTGGGTAGATTTTTTTTTTTGGTGAGTTTTCATCAAAAAGTTAGCTTTCCTCCTGAAAGAGGTTGCCTGCAACTTTGATCCCAGTCATTTTCTCTGGTTTGAACTCAGGATTCAAGTGGTTTGGGTCGACCCGAAGGGTACCCGCGACCCGGCAGGTCACGTTTGGAAATGTACTGGGTGAAAAGCAACCCAATGGGTCAGTGGGGCGGGTATGGACAGCCCAGCTTGTGCTCGGGTCGGCCCGTATTGTGCCCACTGACCCAACCATATGGTACTGGTAGTAGACTGTACTACCAGGAGTCCAGACCTCAGACCCCTGTAGGGGGTCTGAGGATATCTGATATCCCAGTAGTCTCACTCTATGGTTCCTGGATCAGTGTATATCCAGTTCCTCCAACTCCACCAATCCTCCGATCTGACACCAAAGGCTGTCCTTCAAGATGCCTAGAGGAAGAAAGCGACCTCATCCAGGGAATCCAGCCGCCATCGCATCAAGTACAACCAAGGCAGCTACCACGACCAGTGGTTGATCCAGCAGAAATTCCGATTTGCGATTGGATTCTGAATCAGATGTTGAGATATCACAAGATCCGCCTTCTACTGCCCCAACTCCAACCCCTTGGAACCGTACTCAATCTATCAAGAATTCACAACCAAAAGACCAAGATTTGGAGGCAAGCACTGAACTAAGGATGGTAATTGGGCCAGGTGTCCAACGGTCCGCCCGAACCCGACCGGGTTTGGGCCGGGTTCGGGCCAAGCTTTTTATAGAATTTTTTACTTATGCCCGGCCCGAGACGACCCGATTAAAGGTCGGGTCTACTCGGGCTGCCCGTCGGGCCGGTGCAGTAGTGGGGGGTCCTGACTCCTGGTGCTCGGTCAGGTCCGAGTGGACCTGACCAAGCGCCAGGACCCCTCAGAGCTGAGCTTATCCCAAGGTCTAAAGAATGTCGACCAGTACCCGTTTGGCGGTACCCGGCACCCGTTGGAGGGTACCGCCGGCACCCGCCCCGCACCCGCCAGGCGTTGCCGGATGCGGTGCCGTGTGCCCATTTTTTGGAGAAAAGCGGTGCGGTACCCGGGTACCGCCCCAAAGTACCGCCTGCCCCCCGGAGGTGAGCAGGTATCCCCGGCTCTTGGTCCGCTTTGGAGATGGATATGTACATACCTAGATGCTTGTCAACCCAACCACTGACTCCAACCACTGATACTCAACCAACGTCATGCCTCGCCCCCACAAACGAACCACATCAACACAGGACCATACACCTGAGGATGAAAACAACCCAAATAGCTTGTACTGATAGCTGCTAAATATCTGAGTTGAAGTGTCATTGTTGATGCAATTTATTTTTGTTATATTTGAATGCCCTTGGGACCAAGTGAGAGACTTAAAAAACCTGGCAGGTACCGCTGGTACCCGCCTGAAAGACCCGTGGTACCCGCCAGGCGGTGCCGGGTGCCTGATTTTGGCAAAAAACACGCGGGTACCGGCGGTGCAACCGGTACCCGGGTCCATTTCGACATTCTTTACCAAGGTCCAAACCGACCCCAGCTCCTACTCCGTCTGCGACCCCGCCGCCGCGAGTGCTAGCGCCGGGATCTCAACTTCTCAGTGACCAAGCCCGCGGGCAGCCCGCTAACAGCCCAGAAGCCTGTCTCTATATCGGCCCGCGGGCTGCCCGTGGGCAGCCCGATTTGTAAACGGGTTCGGGTTGGGCAGTAGATTTCTAGAATGTAGCCCGGCCCGACCCGCCAGGCAATGTTCCGGCCCGCTTCGGGCCGGCCTGCCCGATTATCCTCCTTACACTGAACCAACATCAAAGAAGAGGAAAACAACAAGCGAGGTTTGGCTTTATTTCAAGGAGCACAGATCAGGTGAGTGAACTTAATTTTTTTTAAATACGTTGCTTTAGACTCTAGTCACTGATTCATCACTCATGCCTCATTTGAAGTTGATAATCTGACCGCAACCTGTTCCAGCTTCAAAACCGTCTTGAGCGGTGTGGAACTACTCTTTGGGATGAATAGAGCTGGAGAGGGAAAGATGCTTTAATGGGCTGCCTCTCTGATAACTGGGTTGAGTAAGATAACAAGAAAAAGATAAGAATATGGACTCTTAAGGAAAGGTGTGGCTTTGGAGAATTCTTGAGATGGGTATGTCTTCTTTCTTCTGGTCTTCTGTCTTCTGGTCTTCTGTCTGAATAATACTAGTATCCCAAATGTTGATGGGCAACTACTAGGCTAATGAAGGGTGATTGGTTATCTGGATTTCTGGGGCAGGATCTGATGAGGAACAAATGAAGAGGGGAAAACAAGGCTCCTTATATACAAAATCTGGGGAGTGGCCAGCTTGTGGTCGGAGACACCATGGAACAAAATGGAACAAGAGAAAATTATCAAACTGAAACAATGTGGCCCAATTGGTAGGCACTAAGATAAATGGGGAAAATGACATCAGAGGCATGCAGGGATGAAATGTTCCACAACCAATGAGGGAGGAAGAATATACCAAAGATATGAATGAACTAGCCAAATTTGTACTAGTGTGAGACATGAAAATAACCCAAGAGAAATAGTGTGAAACAGTAGAATATGGCCCAAAGTGGAAATGAGACTAGAGTGAATTTGGATTAGAGTGAAACACATGCAGAGGCCAAGTGTGGAAGGCTGAATGGGGATTGATGATGTAAAGCTGCATGAAGTGATTATGTAATAAAGAAGTGGAATGTGGAATCCAGAGTGTTTCTGTCCAGGGGGCTTGGTCTTGTGACATCCATGGTGTTGCAGGCTGGCTGAATATGCCAGAAGGGGCTTGCCTTGTTCCTTGAGGGTCTTGTCATCCAGAGGGCTTGATTATGTGCTTGAGGCTTTGATTTTGTGGGCCTCTTATTCAAGATTGGCTTACCACAGCGGTAAGAGTAAAAGTGGTACCAATCACCTCTGCAACATCTCGAGCAATGCAGCGATTTCAGAAATAAAAACAAGCAAAGCTTGCTCAAGACCACAGGTGTATCAACTGCAACATGGGTCTATTCTCAGGAGGAATCTTGCAAGCTATTGACGAAAATGATAATAGCCGAGGAGCAACCTTTCAAGCTGGTCGACAATCCGCTCTTTCAAAAATTTTTGGCTTTGCTTCAGCCCAAATTCAAGACATTCTCCCGCACAACCCTCCGTTCCAATGTGCTGCAACTTTTCAATTCAATGAAGGGCAATCTTGCCCGCGAGATCAGCCAGGTAGACTGAATGGCGTTAACGACCAACCTTTGGACCTCATCTAATCAAACCCCCTGTATGGTCATCTCAGCTCACTATATCTTGCCCAACTGGACCCTCCGAATTCGTTTAATTGGATTCAAAGAACTTCCAATGCCTCACACGGGGGTTGAAATTGGAAAGCAACTCATCACCACAATTGGTGAATGGAAAGTTATTGACAATGTTGCCTTTATAACAATTGAAAACGCAAGCTCCAACGATGTCACGGTCTCTCACTTAAAATCAATCCCAAAACGCACTCAAATTTGATGGTAAATTTTTTCATGTTTGGTGTGCGGCTCACATAGTCAACCTGATCGTCAAGGATTGACTTAAGATCATTTCTGAAGGCATCACTAAAATCAGAGAGAGTGTGTGATACATCAAAAGTACCCCATCACACAAGCAGGCCTTCAACAAGGCCATCAAGCTTACAAAACTTAAAAAGCAAGCTCTCCCTTCAATTGACGTACCAACTCAATGGAACTCTACCTACCTGATGCTCAAGTCAGCCCTACCAAACAAGGAAGATTTTGAGAACTTGACAACTGAAGATGCCAATTTCACAACTTGCCCCACGGACAAGCAGTGGGAAGAAGTTGCAACAATGTGAAATTTCCTATGTATATTCAACACTGGTTAGTGCTTCCTCATATGCACTAGGGTTTCAGGGCGGCTTCGCCGCCCCTACTAATGCTCTGGCTTTTAGCCCCAACTGACTTCCCAGTCTAAGCAAAAGTTATTTGCCCTTGGTCATACATTTCTTACTCCATAAGTGTTGGCACACCTACTTTGCTTTAGAAGTATGGTAGCCTATTTTCTCTCATACCATACCACCAACTCTCATCTTGAATGATTGTGTACGCTCTGCCACCTCTAGCCATAAGCTATTCAACCAGCGAGTAGTGATTATATGCCATTTTTCTCGATTAAAACACTCTGCCTATGCCCAAAAACAAATTTACAAAGTGTATATTAACACAATCGCGGAGATTAAATTTTGACAGCAAATCATTGATTGAAATGTGTTGTTTTCACACCACTCAATTAAAAATATCAGTGAATACATTCATTCTCCTCTCTCTTTTAGTCTCTCAAACCGTGAAATTATAGCCTAAATTCAATTGAAATTATCCTCTATCCATCTTCCGGTCATCTCTCAAGCCTTCCGGGATAAATTTATGCATACCTAAAACCATTTTAGTCAGCTATATTGACATTGTAGAATATGAAGGGACTCATTTTCACCCTTAAGGCTGGGTCTCCTCTGGCCCTTTCCATGAGCCTTCCACTGAAATATACCCTACGCCCTGGTACTATGTTTTCCTACTCTTTGATCCTGTCCCTCTTGCTAAGGCTTAATCTTGGAAGGGGGGATGAATTGTTGGGGAGAATAAAGCAGAGAATAATGGGTAGTGGTGGTATGTATGAGTCTAAGCTGAGAGACAGGCAAAGATGCGGTTAATGTATAGTGGGTGAGGACAAGTGATAAGTGATGTAATGGTGGCAAATTAAAAATTTGAGATGATGGGGTGAAGTGTGAGGAAGGCTTGGAGTTAAAGGGACAGAGTGACAGTTTAAGTAGTTGGCCTGAGGACCAAAAGACCACAACTTGAGGAGAATAAAGTCAGCCACTGGGGATGTATTTTGGGAGGGAGAATGGAGTGTAAGAAACGGGATACATGGCTGTTGGGGTGGATTAGGCAATGGGAAGATTATCAGATTTTTGTGACTTATTGTGAGTAGTAATATTTGAATGTTGGGGGGTTAAGGTCACATTGAGTTCCCTGTTGGAGCTTATTGAAATTACAGTTTTCAGGCTATAAATGGTGAGGGTTAAAAGGAAACATGGCTGTGGGGGAGAGGTAGGCAATGGGAATTGCAAGGCTTTTGTGAATCATTGTCAGTAGCTATGGTTGACTCATGGGCCAGTTAATGTCGGCTGGAGTTCCCATTTCCGGCCTATTGGAATCACAAGGCTGAGGGTATAAAAGGTGAGGGTCTCATGGGTGGAATTGTCCCCCATCGGTAGGCTTTTGCTCGGCTCTATCGCCATTAAGCCACCAATCCTGGAGTCAGCCTGCAAGATAAAACAGGGAATGTGGGTAGTCTAGAAACAATTGGGGGTTGGGGCCAGGGGGAGATGGGTTCAATAGTAAACTCTTAATCTATTCATTTATCATGATCTAATCATTTGGTGTCTTCCTACCGCAGTGATGTTGAAACTTGGAATGACTCACTTTCCAACAGCACATCTCTTATATAAAAACATGAAGAAGATTGATAAACACCTCAACGATGCTCTCAAAGCAGGACCAGAATACATAGTAAACATGGTCAATCTCATGAAATAAAAATACAACAAATACTGACAGAAGATGAGTGACTTTGCCGCAATCAACATAATCTTTGACCCTAGGTGCAAATTGGAACTCATCAACTTCTTAATCTCTGAGGAACTAAGTGCCGAAGCCGCTGCAAATAGCCTGAAGGATATCAAATCTAACATATACAGCTGGTTTGACAACCTTAATCGACGCAAGACCACACCAGCTGAGAATTGCAAGCCATAAAACAGCGGAAAGACCAGGAAATCCCCTGAAGAAGCAAACAATAACAATCAATTCAAGGCATATCTAGCCGGGAAGAAATCCAGTAATGGCGCTCCCTCACCATCGGCAGAATTGGACTTGTACCTTCAAGAACCGACAGTAGACATTGACTACCCTTTGTTTGACCTCCTCAGCTGGTGGAATGTCAACTCTCTCCGATTTCCAACCCTGGCCAGGATGGCCAAGATTATTCTCATGATTCCAATGACCTCAATCACATCGGAGTTGGCATTTTCAACCGGAGGT